AAAGCTCATGGTTTGAACGAAAAGTCAGAGAATCTTTATGGATTAGAAAAACAACAGATACTATGAACAGAGATGAAGGAGGACACATTCTATCACATATCTATGATGATATCATATTGAACCACAACACTAAGAGGGGAGGGGGTGCTTGTCGACGACGCAGCGATGCACTTCGACCTCAACAACACCGAGGTGACGTCAGACCAGACTGGAAATAACATCACCAGTCTACTTGAAAAAGCGAACGGATTGTTCGCGAAACGTAGTGTGAGTACTATTGGTTTTTATTTTGCTGGATCAACACTAATGAAAAATTTCATACAAATTATATTTGGATCCAAATGAATTTATTTCAAAAAAAAAAAAAATAATAATAATAATAATAATAATAATAATAATAAGATTTATTAAGCGCACATCTCCACTAAAGTGCTCAAGGCGCTTGTGAAAACCATGAAAAAGCTTATCCTTTTAAACTAAAGGCTACCAGAAAAACGACCATAACCCACATCACTGCTTCCGTTTACCAGCAATTTAAGGTGCAAAGACCGGCTAGTACATAACTCACAGGTGTTCTCAGTTTTGTGGGCATCTAACTAAACAAATTAAAGAACAAAAAATAGATGTGTTTTCAAAGCAAAAAAGCCCCTACTGGGAAAATTTCACTTTCTGCGAGGAAACACTCTTGTAATGAAAGTATCTCCAGATTAAATAATAATTCATTTTAATGTAATCATATAATTAATAAGATAGCCTATATTTTTACCGAATTTTCATAAACAAATATTTAATATATAAATAAATAATAATGAAACTTGAGATGCGATTATCATCCCTTTGATACTCTAGTTTGTCTTTCGAAATTCTTCAATATTTTAAGCATATATTTTGGTATATAAAAATATAATTGTCATGAGAAGTGAATCTTTCTAAAATGTATGTCAATCCACCTTAACAATTGACCAATATACCAATTTGTAATTTATACTGCGCATGCCCATAAGAAGGTCAATCGACAACGTACACACAACATAGGTTTATATCGATTGACCTTGGATACGGGTCACAGTTCAATATTTAAGAACTGGATTATCCATAGAGCAATTAAAACAACTAGAGTGCTGACAAGCTGGCGAAGCAATGCAGAGTTATGTATGTGTACCATCCAAGATGGCCGTCGTAGTAAAGCGCCACCTTCAGGCTTAGTATACATATTATTACCATAAATAATTCCTCTGACTGACTATTATTTCATTAATGATAATGAGTAATGGTAATAACAAATTATTAAACTATCTATCCAAAACGAGGCCAAGTGGAGCACCTTATTTAAAAATAAAGTACCAAGGAATGAAAATTAAAATCGTGTACATTACACCAATACACCGCAACGCTCGAGTTTCAAACATTCGGGTAACTAGCTGTGCCATAGAGGTATAATAAGAATACTAGAGCGCTAACCGCAATGTATTCGATGTTCGAAATACGCAGAACTGTGTGTGTGTACCATCCAAGATGGCTGCCATAGAGTTAGCCAATCAAATTTCGCTAAGCACCACCGTTGCAATTGCGCCCTCTATTTTCTCAGAAAGTTCAGTACAGCTAGTTACTCGTATGTTTGAAACTCGAGCGTTGCGGTGTTTGGGTGTAATGTACACGATTTTAATTTTCATTCCTTGGTACTTTATTTTTTAATGAGATGCTCCACTTGACCACGTTTTGGCTACAATAGTTTAATAATTTGTTATTACCATTACTCATTATCATTAATGAAATAATAGTCAGTCAGAGGGCTTATTAATATGTAATAATATGTATACTAAGCCTGAAGGTGGCGCTTTACTACGACGGCCATCTTGAATGGTACACATATATAACTCTGCATTGCTGCGTCATCTTGTCAGCACTCTAGTTGTTTAATAGCTCTATGAGCTGTGCTGAACTTCTTGTGTAAATGGAGGGCGCAATTGCAAATGATGGCGCTTAGGCGAAATCATAGCGAAATTTGATTGGCTAAATGTATGGCAGCCATATTGCATGGTACACACACACACACACAGCTCTACGTATTTCGAACATCGAATACATTGCAGTTAGCGAGCCTCTAGTATTCTTATTATATCTCTATGGGATTATCAGAGAACAGTGCCAGAAAAACACGCGTGTCTCACAAACGCACGTGTTTGCGTATGTTTTAACCCTGTCATTTTGCGTGACCTTAGCAACAATATCCAATAGGAGAGACTTGGTGGAAAGGTCTATTACCGCGAGTAGATCGATCGTTTGTCCCAACACTCCTCCTGATTATTTTGATTTTGTTTTTTTATATACATAGGTGCCGCTGATGTATTACAACTGTCCAACGTGAACGCTTTCTTCAATTTGGCAATTCCTCACAATCAAATCCCAGAATATGCTATTGATGAAAACGAACGCACTTATGCACAAGCAGGTAAAAATCCTCACGGTTGTTGCTGTTGTTGTTGTTGCTGTTGCTGCTGCTGCTGCGCTGCTGCTATTATTGAAATAATAAGCAAACAGAAAGTAACAATCTCTTTTTACTTATGGTGCCACTAAAAAGGGCCGTTTGTTTTGAGTATTTTTGGGGTTTTTTGAGGACGTCATCGTCGGTACGAGGCGTACGTAAACTGAGGGTTCTTAATATCGTTTTACTTAGTTTTTTGTAGTGGGTTACTGTAATTGGTCTCTCTCTCTCTCTCTCTCTCTCGATTGTAAAGCCTTTGAATACTTTGGACCTTTTATAGCATTCACAGTGGAACATTTCGTCTTCCGCTAGCTGTCATGCGACTAAATTTATCAATTACATTGTCAAAGTTTGCATGTTCTCTCCTTCGAAGACATCTCGGAGCGATCATTTTTTCGTTCTAAAAAAATAAGCGAAGGTAAAGCTCGAAGTGCCCGCTCTGGGAATGAGATGCACCAACGGACTCAGAGAATATCTGGCGGATTAAGCAGAGGCGCTCCAAAACCACAATTCGATTCGATGTACGCAGGACTGGATGCAGTCTTGCTATATTACTGCACTAATGATTATCGTACAAATAACTCTTTCTTAAAATTAAGTAAAATTAAAATTAAAATGTATTATAAATTAAAATGTATAATTGAAATTATACTGTATATGAGATGTAAGGGCGGTAGGGTTGCAAATGTCCGGAGGAAAGTGTCCTGGGTTGGGCAAAATACCGGGGGAAACTGTCTGGGGGAGGGGATATACCGTGGGAAAGTGTCCGGGGGGAAATGTCCTGGGGAAACCAATCTAGAACCAACTAATGATAATAAAGATTTGACGACAATAATAACGATATAATAATGACAATACTAAAGATTTATAGGTATATAAAATATACATTGTATTTATATATATTTAAATATACCTAAGGATAAGTCCAAATATTGGGTTTTTCAATAAAGTGTGTCTAAAGTTCGTACATATTGTATTCGTTTCTCATTAATGTATTTTTTTATATATAAAGTTGGTAAGTTGGTAAGATTTTATCTGTTATATCATGCCCTGTCTCTTATACACATCTAGATGTGTATAAGAGACAGTCTTTGTTTCCTTTCGCCCAGTCATAAGCGATTTTGTTGTCTATAGGACCCGTCTCCGTGCGACTTGGAAGTTCGGTCAACTTCAAAGAAAACGCATTTTGTGGCATAATTGGACCCAGCAATGGTGTGTCAACATTGGAGATGGCGCGTGTTGGAAAGTACTTATCACTCCAAGCAGAAGATTGTGCTTATTGCTATATCCAGCTCTACGAGCTCTACTCGCGAGGATTCACAGGTAAATTCACTAGTATAAAAGTAGTTTGGTAACATTATTCCTAAAAATGTAATGCATTTTAACAATTGTATTCAATTGGTAATTCATTCAGTATTATTATATAGTTGGAGCCATCCGAATTTTTGTGGATTTTGATTCTTTTGGTTCAATGTAATACATTTAATATGGGCATCTTTTTAATAAATTTTAAAATTTCCATTATTTTAGAATAGAAAAACTGTCAATACCTCCTCTTCTAGAGCCTATATAAACCTGGTCTTAGTGGCAAGCCCAGTGTTATTATTGTCAGCAGGTAAAAATTCCACCATTTATACCAACAACTAATTTCGGCCATATTTGTTTCGAAGGTGGACACCATAAAATGTAAAATAATTATACCTTGGCTTTAATTACCATACACCTTTCATAAATGTAAAGGTTAAAGTTCATGTTCAATTTGTTTATTCCAATTAGAGGCCTATTCAATATTTAATTTCCTTTTCTACTTCATCACTTCTTACAATCTTAGCATTTGATCAATATAGTAAGCGATAGATTAGGTAGATTCAATGAGAGCCCTGCCGTTTTTGTAAAGCTTGTGTTCAACTACTGTGTGATTGTCATGATTCTCAAGCTTGTAAAGAGTTGAATAATGGCTGGATTCAAGGTATGCGAGCCATGCTATGTTAGGTTCAAATATTTCCAAATTACTATATAATGTTGCCTTTATTAAGGTATTCGACCGGTTGGCTATAACGGATACTATTTCAATGGCAGCTGTCACTTGATCCATAAGAAGACTGTTGATTGGATGACGGCGCGTACAAAATGTGAAGCAGAAGGAAACGCAACTCATCTTGTTACCATCCACTCAGAGGAGGAAAATTTGTTCATTTTCGAGATTATCAGTCGTGAGAACATATCATCAACTTGGATAGGTCTGCAAAAAGAAAACTCATCTACTCAGTGGGGAGATGGACATGAAAGTACGTTTAGTAACTTTGACGAAGGAAGCCACGAAGAGAATGAGGCTTGCGTATCCATCGGTAATGACGAATCTCCAAAGTGGAAATGGAAAAACTGCACCAATTCTGAAGCAACGTACATTTGTCAGAAGCCAGGTGAATATGAATGTGTTATCCTAGAACCTATTGTATGTCACATAAACAAAGTAATTATATGAATTCTTAAGATCATAAAGACTGGATAACTTTGAAGAACTTACCAAGCTTTCAACAAGTGTTTAAAGCTTAAGAATTTATATTATTAACATCCTATGGACCCCATTGGAAATACGTTTCTTAACTTTATTGGTTATCCATGGCATCCCTTTTTTATTCCTTTATTCATGTAACCGTGTCTTTTTAATGAAATTTTATTGTATTGTTTCTATGATGATATAAATTGAATTTTTTTTAATGTAAGATGCTGAATAAAACAAAACAAATCGTAGATACTAATCTTCATCAGTGTAATTAAATTAATTATTCATTTATTCATTCATTCTTTTATTTTGGAATCAATGTCCATATAATTATACATAGGCCTAAACAGTAAAAAAAATATTAATCAGCAAAAGATGTTGGAATCAATGTGACATTGTCTATTTAAAAATACGTTTCCATCGAGAAAACATATTAGATTCCTGTAGTATTATTTGAATCATACGATCTATGACAATGCTGCTGGCACTTCTTTGTAGGGCTTTTGCAAGAGCAATATACTAATTTGATTAATACATTTCTAATGCTATTGATATACGTGCTACTGTGTGTAATTGTTCTAGGATATATCATTATTATCCTTTTCAGTATTCTGCAGTATAAAGCAACTATTTTTCTTCTTCAGCAACGAACCGAGGAATCGTTCACACCAAATATATTGCCAAAAAACGTGTTGCAATGGACAGAACGGATAAGAAGTACGATAACGTCACGTCTGGTGCCTGCTCACTGTATTGTATGAGTTATTCTGGATGTATCTCATTCTCTTTCAATCTGTTAACTGGGGAATGCAGGTTAAGCCACAGCATAGAAACTGACAAGGATTTAATTGATGACTTGAATGCTATCTATTTTGTTCAGAGTAATTTGTTTGAAATGTGCAACTTCTAAAGCAAATATTGTTTTATTGAATACTTTTATGTCTTATTATTATTTTACCTAATTTAACTTAGGCCTACTATATTCCATAAAAATCTGAACTGTGATTTGATATTAAATGTAACGTACCGTAAATCCTCGAACAAACGATGCTCTCAAATAAGCAACAGTCTCGAATAAGCGCCGCATCAGACGTGATTTTTTTTCGTTAAGCGCCGCTCTCGAATAAGCACCGTGGCATTGTAATCGAGAGTACATATTGTACCCTGTGTGTAATGCAACACTTTGAGAAATAAAGTGTTAAATAAAATGTATACTGTTCAAATGAATAAATAACACAATGAAGACAATGATTTTCCTTATAAACGTTTGTTTACGATGATGTAGGGCCTATGATAGACCTACCGAATGTGCCGCACTTTTAATAATTTTTAAAAAATTTAATTTCAACCATCTTTAAGAGGGTAACCCTTCCAGTTCAGCCCAGTAGGTTAACCGATATTCAGGGGCCCGCTTTAATAAAACTAAAAAACAGTACAAATAACATCATTACAACATAATAATAATAATTGAAGCGCCTCCAAAATAACTTTACGGTAATTGTCATTTTTACTAACCTCAATAGTGAGACGTTTTAATTTTGTTTTCTTCAATTAGCTACATAGCTCCCATGTTTACAAAATAGATTTATAATCATATCGTTTATAGCCTCTCCCATGTTTACAAAATAGATTTATAATCATATCGTTTATAGACATATAATCTCGTCAGCCGACGACCGTCGGGCGCAGTGCGTGTCCGGCTTTATTGAAAAACCTCTAAAAGTCAATAGGGAGCTTTCGATTGCACGACGACGATAGGACGAGAACGTAATGACGTCACTAAAAGTCATGTTCGCATGCGAGAACATTAAAGTCACCTCGTCGAGTAGATTCTGGAACGCAATTTGGCCAAATCTACGTACGCAGAGAACGTAGGACGCCAGTTAGGACGCTTGAGTGAATCCGTTCTAGCGTCGCGTCGTCGCACAAATGGAAAGCTCCCTTTTAATACTTCTTGGATCAGAAGATCGAGTTAAGTAATAAGGTATTTGTGTAATATTTATGATTAAGCTTGGCCAATTAGATTGACAAATCTTCTAGTTGTAAAGTAGGCATTTAATCTCTCAAATAGAAGTATATAATAATAATAATAATAATGATAATAATAATAATAATAATAATAATAATAATAATAATATTAATAATAATATTAATAATAATAATAATAATAATAATAATAATAATAATAATAATAATAATAATAATAATAATAATAATAATAATATGAAATATACAAAAAAATAATAATGATACCATTATTAAATGGTGTAAAGTGCCAAGTGTACATGAAAGGAGATATCAGAATAAATTTATATGGGCCTCAATGATACAAGGCTATAATAAAAGCACATATACCAGGCATATTTATTTATGGATTCCTTTCAACTCGCCCCTTAGCAAACTCACCCCTTACAATCTCGCCCCCTAA